AAGTCAAGAGACCACATATGCAAAAGTATAACAAAGGTTAGCAGTTTTAAATCCCTTTTAGAATAAGACAGGTTAATGAGATGGATGAAACTGGAGCCCATTATACAGAGCGAAGTAAGCCAGAAAGATAAAGACCATTACAGTATACTAACACATATATATGGAATTTAGAAAGATGGTAACGATAACCCTATATGCAAAACAGAAAAAGAGACTCCGATGTATAGAACAGACTTGTGGACTCTGGGAGAAGGCGAGGGTGGGATGTTTCAAGAGAACAGCATCGAAACACGTATATTATCTAGGGTGAAACAGATCACCAGCCCAGGTTGGGTGCATGAGACAAGTGCTCGGGCCTGGTGCACTGTGAAGACCCAGAGGGATCGGGTGGAGAGGGAGGTGGGAGGGGTGACCGGGATGGGGAATACATGTAAATCCATGGCTAATTCATTTCAATGTATGGCAAAAACCACTGCAATGATGTAAAGTAATTAGCCTCCAACTAATAAAAATAAATGAAAAAAAAAAAGAAAAAAAAAAGAATAAGACAGGTTAAGAGTGTATGAATGAATGGATATTAGTGAGTTCGCAAAGTTAATTTATACTATTGAAATTCAATGAACTTTTAAAATTTATTTATTTATTTGTGACTATGCTGGGTCCTTGGTGCTGCGTGGGCTTTTCTTTAGTTGCAGTGAGCGAGAGCTACTTTCTAGTTGTGGTGCGTGTTCTTCTCATTGTGATGGCTTCGCGTGTGGAGTACAGGCTCTAGAGCTTGTGGGCTCAGTAGTTGTGGTTCCCCAGGCTCTAGAGCATAGACTCAATAGTTGTGGTGCACCGGCTTAGCTGCTCCGAGGCACGTAGAATCTTCCTGGGCCAGGGATCAAACCTGCACCTCCTACATTGGCAGGCAGATTCTTTACCACTGAGTCACCAGGGGAACCCTCAACTTCTTGATAAAATAGTGAACTCAAACCATTGTTGAAAGGCAATTATGACATTTGCCCTCTTCTATGAATTTGTTAGTGCACAGGGAAGGAAAAACTACAATCTCACTTGGTAAACTAGTGAGTAACAGCAATAGTTATAACGATTGCTAACATTTACTTACTATGGACCGGACATTGTGCTAAGTAATATACATGCATACTCTTCAGAAATGGCTCCAAAATTTCTTCATGGGGCAGGTTTAGAACGTAACTTCTTTGGACAACAGGGCTAGGAGACTTGAACTGACATTAGATGGCAGACCCAGTGTATTTTTTGAAATTATGGGTTATTTGGGATGGTAATTATGTGTGTGTGGTAATGATGCTCTAAAGTCCCAAGAGGGGCTTGCCAGGTGGCACTAGTGGTGAAGAACCTGTCTGCCAGTGCAGGAGATGCAAGAGAGGTGTGTTCAATCCCTGGGTCAGGAGATCCCCTGGGGGAGGAAATGGCAACCCACTCCAGTATTCTGGGCTGGAGAATCCCATGGAGAGAGCAGCCTGGTGGGCTACAGTCCGTAGCATCACAAAGAATTGTACACAACTGGAGTGACTTAGCACACATGCACCAAGCAGGAGACACAGGTTCTATCCCTGGGTCAGGAAGATCCCCTGGAGAAGGGAATAGCAACCACTCCAATATTCAGGCCTGGAAAATTCCATGGGCAGAGAAGCCTTCTGGGCTATGTCCATGGGGTCACAAAAGAGTTGGACACAGCTTACCAACTAAACAACAATAACAGAAGTACCAAGAAGTGACAAATCACCTCTTGGTTCCATCACTGCTGATTGCATTGAATCCACACAACTCTATAAGGCAGATATTGTTATGACCCCCATATTCCACAAGAGAAACCTGAGGCTTGGAGAGGTTGATGATTTGTCTAAGGTCTCATAGGTAGGAAGTGGCAGAGCCCCACTTGAAGATAAGTTTGTCTGACTCCTAAACCCATGTTCTTTGCTATAGTACTTTACTGATCATTTGTACAAGGGCTAGCCTTGTCCCAAAATTGGTGAATGGATTTTACCTAACCACTGAAAATGGCTCAAATCAGATTTCACAGACATAACGCAGGCACATGCAGACACACACACACCACCACCCTGTTGAACTTCTTATAACACCCCAGAGGAAACTAATTGAACGGGATAAAATACACTACAGTATATTGAAAACAATCAGTTCAGTTCATTAGCTCAATTGTATCTTACTGTTCATGACCCCATGGACTGCAGCACTCCAGGCCTCCCAGTCACAATATATTTAATGAATTAGACTTTTTTGTTAACTTAATAATTTGTCTTTTGGCTTTTGAGGATGACTTGTCCCATTGCAAATGGGTCAGATTCTTCAGAAGGGCCTCAAGATAAATATAATAAAACAGTGTTTGAAAACCAAAGACATAGATCCATAGTAAATAAGATAAACACAAACTACTCTGACAAATACAGCTTGAGGTTCAAGGATTAGACAATTGCTCAAAGGTAGAGCTAGTTCCCAAGGGGAATGAATAGGACACTTCTCACTCCAATGCTTCCCAGCTTAGTCGGGCAGTCTTCACTTGTCCTTTAAGATACTGACACTTATTAAATCCATTTACTTAAAAATTTTAAGACTATTAAGGTTATGCCATAAAAATGCATGTTGGTACTGGGAAATTGTTAAGTGAAAAATAAATTACAAAATAATACTAGGATGTGAAACTCTCTTTTGGTAAAATGAATCCCCCAAAGTGTGTTTGTATACATACATATATAGTCACAGCAAAGCACTGAAAAGACATATACTAAAATGTTTACATTGGCTTTCTCTGAAGAGTGATTTTGATCTTATTACTCTGATTTTTTATGTGCTTTCAAGTTTTCTGGATTGTATTTGTTAATTTGCACTTAGGATAAAATGAGTTAAAAATTAAAGGCACGGTCACCACACCTACTTTCTAATGTAAATGCTGCAGACTGCAGTACAGTGTGCAGTTTTGTAACAAGATATGAACAGAAATTCAAAGGAAATGAACAGAAATTCAAAGGAAGAAATAAATTCACTGCTGTGGGACATCAGTGCTAGTGCGAGATCCCTGGGACTGTTGCGGGCTCTGAGAGTGAGTGGCACAGGGGTGCCCTACATTTGTTAAGTGAAAAATTAAGGGAAGGAAAAAGAAGAGAAGAAGAAAGGAAAGGAAGAAACACAAAGGTCCGAGAAGAGAAGGTGCTAGGAGATGCTGAGAGTTGCTAAAGATCATCATTATTTCATTATTTGGCTTCTTTTTTCTTTTGGGAGATGGAGGACATGTAGTTTTCTGTTGCTCTTAGAACAAATCACTACAAACTAAGTGCCCTAAAACAACACAGATTTATTCTCTTACAGTTCTGGAGGTCAAGTGTCCAAAAGTGGCTCTCAGGGGCTAAAATGAAAGTGATGGCAGGGTTGTGTTCCTTTTGTAGGCTCTAGGAGAGAATCTCTTCTTTCTCTTTCCAGTTCTACAGACTGTCTCAATGTTATAAAACCCTTGAGATTGGACCCACCAGATAATCCTGGATAATCTCTCCATCTCAATATTTTAAAGTTAATCTTATCTGCTAAGTCCCTTTTGCCATGCTAGGTAATATATTCACATATTTTAGAAATTAGAATATGGGTATCTTTGAGGTGAGGAAGGGGATGTTATTCCGCCTACTGCAGAAGGAAACTGGTATGTTCTACTATCCATCATGTATGCTGTAAACATAACCTCATCTAAATCTTCAACAAGCCTTGTGAAATATATGCCAGGATTTGCTTTTAAAGTTGAGAAGACTGATGCCAATAGGGAAGGATGGGGGGAAGGGATAGTTAGGGAGTTTGGGATGGACATGTATACACTGCTATATTTAAAATGGATGACCAACAAGGATGTACTGTATAGCACAGGGCACTCTGCTAAATGTTATGTGGCAGTCTGGGGTGGGAGGGGAGTTTGGGGGAGAATGGATACATGAATATGCATGGCTGAGTCCCTTCATTGTTTACCTGAAACTATCACAACATAGCTTGTTAATCAACTATACCCTAATACAAAAGAAAAAGTTTTAAAAGCAAAATAGATAAATTGAGGAAACTGAGCCTCAACACAATTTGGGATTCTGCACAAGGTCAAGTAGCTAGGATGCAAACATCCCAGGTGGCTGAGCAGGAGCCCAAGCCAGCCTGCCTGGTGGCCTTGCTTCCACTCATCTCCTGCTCATCTCTGCAGCCTCTCTCCTGTCTGGGCCTGTCCTCCAGCTCCCCGAACATGCTTACGCCTCTGTTTCCCGCATCATTGTGCTCTCCCGATGACCATGTATACAGCTGTGGCTTTGTGCTGAGGCTTGCTAATCGAGGAATCCAAGCCGGCTGCTCCTCAGAATCTTAAGGCCCAAGTCACCTTTATTCAGTGAGCATTTTTGAGCTCTTGGGCTGGGGGTGCTAGAGCAGCATGGAAGATAGATGTAAGCTAAAAATGACAGGATAGTCTAGGGGATACATATTATATCAGACATGTGGACTGCAGCATTACAGGAAGCCACAACAAGTCCTGGGAACTTTGTGTGACTCTTTCTCATGGACCTTGGGTGAAATCTAAGATTCAGGGAATAAACAAAGGCTTCTTTTTCTTTTGAGCTCCCTGGGGGACCAGAACTGATTCATCTTTGTGCTCCCTGTGTCTTTCTTATAGCAGTGCTCCATAAATATTTAGAAGTTGGTAACAGGACCAAGATAGGAAGAGCAAAAGGAGCAATCAGGGCCTCAGACCAACAAAGAGTTAAAGGTCACTGGGGAAGGCGGTGCTTTAGGGCTCTCATGGTCTCCATTCTACCTAGCAACTGATGACACAAACATTTCCACTGTTTTGACTGGGAGAGAGCCCTTGAATGTCTCAGTTGCTGAATCACCAAAAACTGAGAGCTGATACAGTACAGGTTCTTGAAAGATCAACAGGGACCTATCAGTGTTTTAGTTAAAAGAATCAGAAGAAAAGGATTTTAGAGGGGCTGATGATGCTCCTATTGCCTCTCATCATTGTATTAATGGTGAAGCTCAGCGATGCTCGTGAGTACCCCAAGTTCTCTTTGCTTCAAACTCCCCAGCTGAGGGAGCCTCTGGGAAACAGCTTGTCTTCCTAAAACTCCTGGTGAAATGAAGAAACCAGGGGCAGAAAACTGTGTTTATTCAAAACAGGACTTGTCGGAGCGATGAACTGGAAAGCTGTACAGGTTTCCAGTTCGTGTGTGTAGGATCTTGATGTTACCCACCTTCTCTGAGGGCTTGGAAGCCATTCTGGAAAGACCCTCTGGGTAACTTCCTCACTTCCTACTTCCCTTCTGAATGTTGTTCACTTTCTTTTCTGCTCCTGTCTTTTCTTTTACTTTTGTTTTTCCTCCCTACTAGCTTGGTGAGTCTCATGAGGGCGTGGTCAGGGTTTCGGGGCCACTGAATAGTAGAGCAGATCCATTGTTCACATCTATTTGTTTATCCTCCTCACCACAAGCCCTGCCTACAATATAAGATCCCAGAAAGATAAAACCATGGTTCTGAACTCTTGTACTGAGTGTAAGAGTTATGAACTTAGTAGAAAGAGCTTTTCACTTTTTGGGGAACCTGTGTCACTAGGGAAGCAGTTGCTTTCGGTTGCCCCAAATATACAAGAAGACCGGTGGGCTGGAAGCAACAGGCTTCTCTGCTCTAAGCAACTGCTTTCTCAGCTACAGTGCAGCACTCCCAGGGGGTTGCCTGACAATGTCTGGGCTACCACCATAGGCAACGATGCGTGAGCATGATGGCAAGGAGCTCTTTCAAAACGTCTGTGTGTTTTTTGATGACCTACTATGTGCTGGCACTTTTGGGGACATGATCATGGACAGGATAGACATAGGTCCTAATTTCATAGAAACTTAATCCAGAAAAGTCCTACCATTCAAGTCAGAAATGGGAAAGATTGAGGGTGAAGGTAAGAGAGGATAAAAAGAGGGCAGGAGTGATATTTCTAGAAGGTAAAAGGCCTATATATTACCTGTATTTGATTCTCAAGGAACTCACCAATAATATGGCCACAATAACCCCTAAATATAATCTTTCATGTGTTGGTCTAACTAACCCTTGTGGCTCAGACGATATCCGCATTTCCAGATGAGGAGATCCAGGCCTAGAGAGGTGGACTCAGCTCACATGATGAACAGAGTCTGAAGTACCAGCAGGTCTTCCCAGCCACAGTCCCGGGGTTTCCCACAAAATCATAGTGTCTCTCGATGTGGATGCTCGGCGCTTTGATAACTGGCAGGATGAGAAATAGAACCAGTCATCTCTGAAGGGCAGGGAAGGTCACCTTGTGCTGGCTCTCCTTCTCTTGGCTCCTTCCGCTGCATCCTTCTCTGCCCTGTGTTGTGTCCTGGGAGGTTGACTGCTACAGACGACATCACCCGGGCTCTCTCGCAGGCTGATTTCTGTTTGGGTTCACCCAATAGGAGACGCTGGGGGAGAGCAATCAGAGAGCAAAGCGAGGTTGAGGTATTACCTTCTTTTCCCTCTTTCTCTAGTGCCTCTGGTAGTATAATAGCTGTGTGCCTCCGCAATGTAGTTTTCCATGAATGGCCCCTTCTTCATGGTTCTAGCTACCATGGGGGTTCAGGAACACTATTTGCTCCTCTCATCGCTACAACCGTAGGGCTGGTAACAGCTTCCTATAACTGCTAGCTTCTGGGTTCCCCAGCATCCCTCATTTGTTCCTGTAACCTTGCTCACAGCTCTGTGTAGAGTCCCTCCACTGAAGTTTCTTCATGTGACTCATCTAGAGTGAAGGCTGTTACCTGCCAGGACCCTGAGTGAGCATGCTGAGCATTGAGGAGTGCTAACAGGGAAGGGAGATGGGGTTATGAAAAAGGACTTGGTCTACTTGATATTTGGACCTAATGCTGGCCCTGAGTGGGAGCTTCTAGAGGTGGAAATGCAGGGAGGAGATACTAGAGTGTTTGAGATCACAGAGCAATGTTAAGATCACTCCAGCATCACTTCCAGTATGTTGTTCTCATTGACTCCATAGCCTTCAGTAAACTGCTCTTGCATTTGTAGTCCCATAGCTCTTGCTCCCAGTTTTATAATTTTCTATCTACCAAAATCTTTCAGTCAAGGCTCTCCTTAAAGCAGGGAGAGAGATCTCATTTTTCTCGTTTCCCTCGTACGTTCTAGTGACCAATAGGCACTTAATAAATACCTCCTGGAATTTATGTTCCAAGGTGATGTTTCTAACAAATTGAAGTGATCTGACCATGTACCATAGAGCAGGGGTCCCCAACCGCTGGGGCCATGGACCAGTACTGGTCTGTGGCCTGTTAGGAAATGGGCCACAAAGGAGGAGGTAAGCGGCAGGCAGGTGAGCAAGCAAGCAAAGCTTCATCCATATTTATAGCTGCTCCCCATAGCTCGAATTACCACCTGAGCTCACCTCCTGTCAGATCAATGGCAGCATTAGATTCTCATAGGAACGCTCAAGAACCTGCCACAAACTATGCATGGAAGGGATCTAGGTTGCACGCTTTTTATGAGACTCATACCGAAACCGTCCCCCACCCCTTGTCATTACCCAGTCTGTGGAAAAGTTGTCTTCCAGGAAACCAATCTGTGGTGTTAAAAAGGTTGGGGACTGCTGCCATAGAGAACTTGGGCAGCAATAATGACTAAATTCATGACTGTGGTTTATTCTGGTTGCAGAATATTTATGAAAAAGAAAGAGGTTTCATGCTTTACAACTCCTCCTCTTCCAGCCTGTGGGAAACTGTGAGCTGGTGACGTGGTGGGTGTAATCAGGTGGGGGCAGGCATGGGATCTCTCTTGCAGAGCCATGTGTGGTTTGTATGGTTGATCCTGAAAAACACTAAGGTCAGTCTCTTGATATTATTTATAACTCTATGGATATTTCAATATTCTATATCAATCTGCTTCATGAAGTCCTTCACAGACAAGGACTGATGATAGATAAGTCCCCTGAATTGTCCCCTGTCAAGACAGGCTTGCAAATTATCTGCTAAGAAATGACCTTGAGTTCCAAGAGTTAACATGAGAAAATATGGGTACTTGCTATAGACCTTATTTGACTTCAGTCTGTTTCCATGGAGCTGTTGCCAAGGTACATGCAGTAGAAATTTCTCCAAGATACTGTTTTACTCCCCTAAGGCCGTCTTCTTCTTAGTTGACATTGAATCTATCTAAATCCGAGGAATTCAACTAATTTGTAGATTTTCTTCTGACTAGTGGGAATATTTGTCTATTCTTACTAAAACCCATTGACCTCGGTCATCCTCTCACCCTAGAGGATTGCCAAGGTCTCAAAGGAACGGGCCTAGGTTAAAGATAAAACGCATGACTTTTTAAATACTTGCTTTATGAAACCCAAGTTGAGACAGATGATAAAGGACATTCTTTCTGACAGCCAAGTTTATATTCATTATGGAAAACCTTTCAAGAATATGAGTACCAAATCACATTTTGTTACAACCCCAGTGAATCATTTTATAAGAATAGAATTCATAATATTGTAATTCTTCTGGGAAATAGGAGACCTGTAGTCATCATTGTATATAGAGTACTGGGGGAAAAAATCATCAGGGCTCGATCATTCATTCATTTTCTGAAGCTCTACATGGCCCACAGTGGTCTCCTTGCTATTCTTCAAACACGTGGAATGGGCAACTTTCTGGAGGACTTGGGCTTGTTGTTCTGTCTGGAAGGTTCTCCTATGGCTGACTTCCTTTCTCCATTCACATCTCTGCTCAAGTGCCACCTCCTGAGATGGCCTTTCCTGGTCCCTCTACCTATAAATCATCCCTCTTCACATTCTATTTTCCCTGTTTTCTTCTTTTTTAAAATTAGTTTTTCTCTTTTTAAATTTTCTTTTCTCATCTTTTTCTCCATTTAAAAAAATTTGTTTATTTTTATGTATATTTCCTTTCCCTGCTTTATTTCTCTCCAAAACCCTTATCAGCAGCTGATCTTGTGTTATATACTTACCTACTTCCAGTCTTCCTTCTAGAAAGGAATTCAGATAGCTGGGACACTGCTCTGTTCATTGCCGTATTCCTAGCAGTTAGGACTGTGCCTACTGGAAGTTCAGAAAAGAATAAAATTTAAAAGGGACACTGGCACCTTCCAAAGGGTAGCTTCAAAAGAGTAGCTAAAAAGTCACACTGCCACATTCGGCACTTCCTGGCCCTCGACAAGTATGTAGTGAGTTGTTAGGAGAGACTGGCAGTTCTTGAAGTGTATAGAGCCACCCACATCACTGCATAGTTGGACAAGTGTCCAAAGGCCCTCTTAACTAAAAATATCACCCTCCACTTCTCCCTCTCATTCCCACGATGCCTGAAATTCCAGAGAGTAGTTCCCAGGAATCATAATCATTTTGACTGTGTTAAGGCATAGGGCCACTTGGGAGGCCCAACAAATAATTGGGGCTTTGTTGAACTGGTCATCAAATCAGGACCCACGGCCAGTTGTAGGAAGGTCTGGAGTCTGGTTCCCCCGGGACAGGAAAATCTGGGATTAGTGAGTCATCCTTGACACAAGGGGGCAGGAGAGAACACTGGTGATCCTGGCGAGGAGCCTGAAACAGAGCCTGGGATGGGGAAGTGACTCTGCTTCTGAACAGCTGGGCAGTCTAAGGCAGAGAGGCTTCCTGCTTGAGAGGTCAGAGGGAAATTCTTGGGCCCTCTACTTTGGATTCTAAGGATGATCTTGGACAGTTTTCTTCATCTCTCTGAACCCGTTTCCTATCTGTGAAATGGGAATTTTAAGAAAGTGAAAAGTGTTAGTCAGCTGTGTCCAACTCTTTGCAACCCCATGGACTGTAGCCTGCCAGGCTCCTCTGTCCGTGGGATTCTCCAGGCAAGAATACTGGAGTGGGTAGCCATTCCCTTCTCCAGGGGATCTTCCAACCCAGGGATCAAACCCAGGTCTCCCGCGTTGCAGGCAGATGGTTTACCCTCTGAGCCACCAGGGAAGCCCTGGGAATTTTAAGATCTACCTCAAAAGGCTGCAGGACTTCTCAGGTGGCTCAGCTG